ATCCGGCGAGTCGCGGCACCTCACATGTTTGGCCAACGCACCCACCTGTCGCACACTCTCGCACCGTAACGAACGGGGGGCCGGTGGGGCGCTGCGATGGACCGGCGCGGATCACTGCGGGGACTCAAATCGAGCCCGAGCGGTGGTCCGTGTTGGCCCATCGCGTGGTGGCCGCGGCGTCGGGATCGTCGGCCGTAGTCGGTTACATTGATGGGGTGGAGGTACGCATCATAGTCGATACAGGGGCATCGGCGACAATTATTTCGGAACTAATTTACAATATTCTACCGGTGCAGAGCCGTCCTTTGCTACCGGTTAATGTCCCTTTCTATGCCGCTAACGGGGGCTCTCTCGGCATCGTGGGACAGATTCGAGCGCAAATTTCTATCGGGGACATCAAATTGTCGGGGCCGATTTTTGTCTCCTCCTCACTGGCAGTTCCGTGCCTGCTGGGGACGGACTTCTTGGGCAGGATGCCAATTCGTATTTTGATCGACCAAGGATGCATTGAGCTTCCGTCGGGGCGACGTATGGCGTTCCTGCCTTCCCCTGTAGCGACTCGGACGGCGTTCGCGACGGTACCGGCGTTCGTCGTAAAAACAGTGCGTGTGCCGCCGGGGGCACAAATGCTGGTACCTCTTAAACTTCGTAGGCCCTTCGCTAAGGGTGTTGGGGATCAGGGTGTTGTGCTGGGGCCGTCTAGGGCCGGGGTTAATGGGCCTCATTTAATTCCGGCCCAGACCATCGTAAGGGGGGACGAGGATCCCTTCATCGCGGTCCTCAATGTCGGGTCGCAGACAGTAGTGGTTCCCCAAGGGACTGTGCTCGCTCACGCGACGCCGGTGCCCTGCGAGGAACCTGCCGTGAACCACATTGACACTGCTGCTCGGACGCACCCGCATTCGGACGGCGATGAAGGGTGGCTCGACGCGCTTTGTGCGGGATCGACGAACCTGTCCAATTTAGAGCGCCAACGGCTTAGATCGCTGCTAAAGGAATTTTCCGACGTTTTCAGTCGGAATAAATACGATTTGGGTTGTACTCACCTGCTGCGTCACCATATTGACACGGGTGACAGCGCGCCTATTCGCCAAAATCCTTTTCGGTTGAGTCCCGCCGAAAAGGACCATGTTAAATCGGCTGTCGATGACATGTTAGCCGCCGACATTATCTCTCCCTCTACCAGCCCTTGGGGAGCACCGATTGTCCTGGTTAAGAAACAGGATGGCTCGTTGCGGTTTTGCGTAGATTTCCGTCGCCTTAATAAGGTTTCGGTTGCCGACGCATACCCGCTCCCACGGATGGACGAATCGCTGGACGCCTTGGCGGGAGCGCGATTCTTCTCCACACTAGATTTACTTTCGGGATTCTGGCAGCTTCCTCTGGACGATGATTCGAAGCCTAAAACCGCTTTCCGTACACCGCACGGCCTGTTCCAATTCAACCGGTTGCCGATGGGCTTACACTCAGCGCCGGCAACCTTCCAGCGGTTGATGGAATTGGTTTTGGCTGGATTGCAATGGGAATCGTGCCTGATTTATTTGGATGACGTAATTGTTTTTGGAAGAACCTTTGACGAACATCTCCAGAGGCTGCGGGCGGTTTTCCAAAGGATGCGGGCTGCTAATTTGAAATTTAAGCCCCAAAAATGCTATTTGTTTCGCGAGTCAGTGCGTTATTTGGGGCACATCGTGGGGCGCTCGGGTATTGCTACCGATCCCGCCAAAACGCAGTGTGTCAGCTCCTGGCCAATTCCGACCTCGGTGGGGGAGGTGAGGTGTTTTATTGGCTTCGCTTCATATTACCGACGGTTCGTCGCTAATTTTGCTACAATTGCCAAACCCCTACATGCTTTGACATCAAAAGGGGTTCGGTTCCACTGGGGTCGGGATGAGGAAGTAGCTTTCTGCTCCCTTCGGGATGCATTGGTGAAGGCTCCTCCTTTGACTTACCCCGATTTTTCGAGGCCGTTTTTGCTCGACACCGACGCGAGCAACACAGGTATCGGAGGCGTGCTTTCCCAGGTGGTTGATGGCGTGGAACGGGTGGTTGCGTACGGCAGTCGGGTGTTGTCTCCAGCGGAGCAAAAATATTGTGTCACCCGTAGAGAACTGTTGGCAATTGTTTTCTTCATCCAACAGTACCGCCCATATCTGTACGGTCAGCATTTCACTGTCCGTACGGATCATGCGGCACTGCAGTACGCCCTGAAGGTTCAACAGCCATCGGGACAATTGTCCCGATGGCTGGAGGTCCTCCAGGATTTCGATTTTGACACCACCTATCGTAAGGGCATTCGCCACACAAATGCGGACGCTCTGTCGCGCATGCCAACCACCTCCGAATGCGCATGCCTCCTGGGGTCGGGGCGTTGCAAGCCAGCTGGGGACATGACGGTTCCAGTCCTGGCGGCCGCCGCCGATGTTGACACATCGCTCCCCGATGAGATCGGGAAACAGGGAAGGGATTCCCTGCTTGGGTTGCCTGTGATTGAGTGGGGACGCCTCCAGATGGAGGACGCCTCCCTCCTCGCGCTGCGTCGTCGCGCCAGGGAGAGGGGGTGTGGGACGGGTGATGCCGACAATTGGGAAATACACGCGGGCTTGCTCATGCATTGGGACGGTAAATCCCACCGTCACCGGCTGGTAGTTCCTGCGGGGTTACGGGGTAAGGTGGTGTGGGCTGCTCATGAGCGCCTCCTCCACCTGGGTACCCAAAAGACCCTCGCCTCGCTCCAGCTGGATTTTTTTTGGCCGGGCATGACACGGGATGTCACGGATCTCCTGGCAGCATGCCCCCGGTGTGCGCAACGCAAACCACCAGCTCGGGAGTCGAACCCGCCGTTGCAGTCCATCACAGTCTCCAGGGTGAACGAACTCGTAGCGTTGGATATCCTGGGGCCGTTTCCCGCCACCCCTAGGGGCAATAGATATTTGCTAACAGGGGTCGAATACTTCACACGCTGGCCTATGGCCTGGCCCCTGGCAAATCAGTCGGCAGCAGCCATCGTGGACGCCTTTGTCCAAGGCTACGTCATGGACAAAGGTGCTCCGGAGCGGCTGCTGACCGACCAGGGTAAAAATTTTTCCGGGAACCTCCTCAAACAAGTCTGTGATCTCCTAGGTACAAAGAAGATTCGTACCTCTCCCTATCACCCACAAACTGACGGGATGGTCGAGCGTCTGCATCGTACCATCACGTCTATGTTGTCGCACCTGGTTTCGGAGTCACAGACCAATTGGGACTTGCAAATTCAAGGGGTCCTGGCAGCATATCGATTGGCCCCCCATGCTGCCACGGGATTTTCACCCTTCTTTCTCATGTATGGTCGCGAACATGACCCACCTGTTCGGGCACAGCTGCAGATCCCCGCGCCTCTAGGTAAAATTAAATTGGACGAGCACGTTAAATTTAACCTTCAAAAGCTAACTGAGGCGCGGGATGCTGCCATGCTCAATTCCCGCATGCGCCAAAAGGCGAATGAGCGCCTCAGACTCGCGCGCGCGCACGTGCTGCAGTGGAAGCCAGGGGACAGGGCATGGCTGCACTGTCCCCAGGTACCGCTTGCGACCTCCTCGAAACTGGTACGGCCATGGCGGGGCCCCGTCGAGGTGGTCGAGGTTTTGCGACCGCAGTGCGTTCGTATCAAGTGGGGGAGGCGCCGGTGGTTCGTTCACCCCTCTAGACTAAAACCCTTCGTTGCGGTGCGGGACTCTGCTCCACACGCGCAGGGCCAAGCATGTGAGGGGTCGACCGACCCGGAGGGTCCGCCTCTGTTGATCTCACCTGACGTCTTGCCGGTTGCCCCGCCCCCAGGTTCTCCCGGAATGACGGGCTCGCGCACATCCCTCACGGGGGATGCCGAGGGTCCCGCCACTCCAATTGCGGACTCGCCTCGGATGGGACAGCGGCCACCGAATGGTCCGCCATCTGAGGTTGGCCCTTGTGACGGGCCTGCGGCAAGGACGCGCGCTAAAATGCGCAGACTCTTATAAAAACACTGGAACGCGAACAAGAAGTGAAAACGAAACGAAAATAAGAAGAAAATTTTTTTTTATTTTTTTTGCGTTTTCTGGTACACTTTCGTGTGCTATTGTTACTGGACGCTGCGTTCGTGTGGCGCTCTTGGCGCGTTGTTGTATTATGGCTGTGTGTGTGTGTGCGTCTTGTGTGCGTGTTGTGCGTGCGCTGAGGGTTCCGGGAAATGTACATATCTTGCCTCTACGGATTTCGTATTTATTCGGGGGGGGGGGGCGCGTCGGTTTGTTCTCCCTTTAGGGGCATTGTTAGTGTTGTTGTTCAATTCTCGTTCTGTTAAATGAAAAAAATGGGGCACACACGGGGGGAGTCAAGGGGTAAAGATTCATTTGTTGAAATTGTTGCAGCCGGGACGGCTGCGAGCTATGCGGGGGGGAGTGATGTAGGGATGTTGGAGAGAGGGCCGTTATGCATGGCAGCCTATGGGAAAGAAACACAGTGGGCGGGGCTACGTGTGTGCACAGGGAGATGCCCTCTGCGACGTCCGAGCCAGACACCCTGGGGGGGGGCTGGTTCGGCGTTACGATCCCCCGGGGCCCCACCCCTCAAGGAGGGTTGGGTATAAAAAGGGGTCGTTATATGGGCTGAGTCAGTTATGTTATAGTTAAGCTAAGAAGTCGGAAGACGTCGTAGCTAGAGCCCTGGACTCCCCCTGATCGCCGCCCTTATCAGGGCCCCACGGGATCAGGCTCGAGCCAGTGGCGTGGTCCCGTGAACCAGAGCCAGTGCTCTGGGACTCCGGGTACCGAGCCCGATTACCAGTGTCGGGCCAGACAGCCTCCCCTAGCTCTTAGTGGAGGACTCAGGGGATAGGCTATGGATAGCTAGGGGTATTCCCTGAGTTATACGGGTGAGGGGGCCGCTACCCCCTCTAGGGCTGTCCTGTACTGGCAACTTGTTAAATAAATATACGTGTGCCTCAACTCCGTTGTCAAGCGTCCTCGACGGGTACTTCATAGGCATCAGTAGGGAACGCAGTGTGCCAGTGTGAAGCCAGCACATTACTGATCTGCAATCTAACTCATATACTTCTGCAAAATGCATTTACAAGTGTATGCACTGCATTTCCAGATTATAAACATATTTAAAAACTATTCGAATAATTACATTTCCTCAAAAGACTTTATGCTTTACTAGTTTTACTACCCGGCTTCGCCCAGGACTTGGATTCTAGTCTTGGATTAATACATGGCCTACGCGGAGGGTGAGGGGGTGACATCATGCGGGTGACATCACAGATGTGACGTCACAGCTCACTTGCCGTGCAAATATATGCATTATTGCGCCCCCCCCCCCCCAAATACAAAAGTCTATTGTTATACTTTTTGCATTGTGTACAGTGTGGAAGCTACCCACATGCCAAATTTCAAGTTTGTTGCATGTCAAGGAAGTATGCTAAACATCTCAAACAGACACACATATTCACAAATTTCCCTTTTATATATATAGATTATACAAAGACCCTCCACTACCGGACATAGCCAAACAAATTACATTGTCACGTGTACAAGTGTTTAAAGTTCCAATTATAATTATTTCAGTTCACCAGAAAAGTGCACATCAATGAAAATTATGTGAAAACGCTTATACACGTGACAATAGAATGTGTTTGGCCTAAGTCAGGTGGTGAAGGGGTTTAAAGACAGATCACAGTGTCCTTACACAAATAATTAATCATTCATGAAACATAACATTGGCTGCGAAAACACATGTATTATTATTCTTGTCTTTTAGCACGACAAAATAAAAAAAGGCTGAAATGTCAGATGATAAACATCCACAGCACCAAAGCACATCATCTATTGCTGTCCTGTGAGACTGCCCAATCTGTTTTTCCGTAACGTAATTGGTTTCCGATCATGCAAGGTTTGCATTAATAGCCTGTGAACATTGTGAAATAGAGCTTGTTAGGCATGGACATTTTACCAATGTCTTGAGGCCTGTAATTTGAGATCTGCTGCGAGTTAAACAAGCACAAGGGATGTCCACAACCCACTCCCATCGTACTTATCATTTATCCCTAATAATCATATTTAAACCATACGCTTTGCGTGACTAGGTTTTTTGAATGTCTTGGAAATCTGGGTTTCAGTGTAACTACGAACAAATATTTTAGGGCTGCTGACTAAAATATAAATGTTACAAAAATCTATCATACAAAACACCCCTGCACCCCCACCACCACCCACCCTCTAATGAGTGTTTTAATATAATTATAAAAAGCTAGTTGGAACACCCTAAATACATTGTTATTTAACCAGTTGGTACTTGTTATGTATGTTTAGACATATGTTAATGTATTCTTTGGGTCTTTCGGTAATGTCACGTAGATAGGTTGAAAAAAAAACGTTTCGGTCACAACACAAGCGATCGTGTTGTGATCAAGATGATGACGATCACAACACGATCGCTTGTGTTGTGATCGAAACGTCGCAGTTTTCTTGTTATTTTTAGTTATTTTCTTTCAACCTATCTACGTGTCTTTACCGAAAGACCCAAATAATATGAATTCCTGCAGTCACGAAAGCTTTAAGTCAAGATATGCTGATGTGTTTTAGAATTCAGCTTCCAATTTCCAAACACAGGATGAGATTGTTCCTTAAACAAATACGGTACTCAAAAGCCTGAATAAAAATTTACAAATGCAGTCTGTCCTGTAAACAAAAGCCTAAAGGCAAGAGGGTAGTTGAAAATAATTTAATGCGCCCTTTATAGCACTAAATACTGCCATGTCTTGTTAAAATAAACCAATGGTTTTCTTTGAAATATATACACCTTCTTAAGATAGAAAAAACTCACAAGTCTAATGTATAAATACACTATAGCAAATCCTGCAAATGAACATTTTATTCAATCACCTTAAACTGTATAACATAAATGCCTATAGAAAGGAAAATGTGTGCAAGGAAACAGCACTCATTCATTCATCCGACTAGATCTTCTCATAAGGTCATGTCAACTTGAATGGTTCCTAGCCAATGTTTTTTTAAATGACCGCAAGAAAATATGCAAGCTCCCATCATACAGTGCTCCGCTAAAGACACCACAATCTGGCACTGTCATAAACAATGCTTTTAAATGATCAGTCATATGGAAGGAACAACCTACTGTCATCATTTATATATATTGTGTATAATGGGTCTTTCAAACTGTCTTATTTATATATGTAATAATAAGAGTCTCAACTCATGTATATGATTGGAGATCATGTTTTCCAAAAACTCTAAATCAACGGCGAAAAAGAATAAAATTTTGCATATATCACAAATTAACGTTCTCTTTACTGTTCTCTTTACTGAAATATGAAAACATACATAAATGATTCAACTGAAAGGAATTACATATTATTTTATCATCTGTTTTTAGGAATATCCAGAGTTATGATATGTACTATTTTTTAGCGTTATTATACATGGATGTATTCATGAAATATATTCATAAGCCACAGTGACTATACTGTTGTCGTTGATACTCACGGTATGCATTTACAAAATAAATAGCAGAGGGTGAAAACGCTCCGTTTATTTCACCATGCCGACCAACCCTGTGAAGCAGAGCACTTAATGCTCATTTTTTAATTTTTAATGAAATTATAATTTAGCTCCCACCCCCACCCTTCTTCATGATGAATCTGAGCGAACGAGGCGGATCTTCAGTAGTCGACCTCGGGGCTGGAGGGCTGCAGCCGGGTGGACAGCCATCGACGTAGCGGGCTCAGGTACTCGCGATGCAGCTGCTGGAACTCGGGAGTCTGACGGATCTCGCGCAGTGGCGCCGCGTCCAGGCCGGCCTCGAGCAGCAGCAGTAAGAGGCCCAGGGAGGCGGCGAGCGCCAGCAGGAGCCGAGCCGTGCCGCACGCGCACGCCGCACCGCGCCGTGCCGCGCCGCCAAGAAGGCGCGTGCCCAGCAGCTCCAGTCGGTCGCCCTGCCAGCCCGCGTCCTCCTCGGAGTCGTCGCAAGCGCCATCTTCATCGTCGTCGTCGTCCGTCATAACCAGCAACGAGGTCGGCTCGAAGTCCGACCCCTCGCAGGTGGACTCTGTGTCCGGCTCCCTGTACCTGCCACGCACAGCGATGGATTCGACTTTAGTATAGAGCGGAAAAAGCCTCCACGCATGCTGAGGACTGGGTCTACCAGACTGACTCTTTCTTCTCCTCATTATGTACCGTGTTCAACAACCACACCGCAGGTCAAAACACTTCTCTCTCTCCTTCTTTCCTCACACTGCTCGACTTTTGAGTTCCCTCCCATCATCTCTTTTCCAAAGTTCTCATAACTTTGCTCGCTTCGACAACAATATTAACTCATCTACAGTGGTGGTTGTTTGCTTTCCACTGGAATTTTGTGATATACATTTTGGCTTTGAGGTGGCCAGGGAAAGATTGCACAGAAATGGATTATTGAATTCTTTGATGTACTGCTCAAAGCTCGAGTGTCACCCCCTCCAATGTGTGTGATTTCTCAAAGTACCCTGGTTTCCACATGAATGGATTGACCAACCTGTGCTCAACTAAATGGCACCAATATAGAATGAATCAATGATAGCTTGGTCGACCAACTACTATTTAAAGAACCGCATTTTTTTTTAAACATTAAATTATCAGTAGATGCCTACATGTCATGTTATATGCCAACGTTTGATAAGTGCTTCATGATTTACTTGTTGTTGCACGCGAAGATGCTGTCTATGGTGACGGTATCCTCCACGGGCGTGGGCATGGTGCTGGAGGTCGGGCTGTAGGTTAGGTCGGCGATGATGAGCGGCTGCTCACCACCACCCGCATCCTCGCGGTCTTCCAAAAGCCCCAAGCAGCCGCCTGGCCAAACCTCGGCCCGCGACTGTGACCTCGGGTGTTTGCCACACCCTGAGCCTGACCACGTTATGGCTCGTGACTGTCCACTCAAGGCCGGGCCAAGTCTTGACCCTACATCCACCGCACACCCTGGATCCTGTTTGGAGCTTGAGCCTGGCATTGGTGTTGAATGTGCGTCCGCCTTCAACGCCGATAAGCCTGCAAACATGAACGTGCTTATGCAGAGCATTTCAATAGAGTAATACCTCTCTTCCACTGGCACATCTGAGCCAAGCCAGAGCAAGCCTCTCACAGAATCGGTGGTTTTCCACTATTTTTTGTGTCGAAACATGACCATAATTGCTATACACTGGCCTCACAAGACATCTGAATCTACCTCAGAGCCCATTAGAGCCAGGGCCAATGACACATTCATTGCATGTCACGTCAGTCTACACTGAGGACACAGCTTCACTGCATCATCTACATGCGTCTCAACGTCACACATAGTGTGTGATGTGAGTGGCACGGCTCAGCTTCTGCAATGTAAAAGCAACCTGTTCATCCTGAACTATGATGGCCTGGCTCGGCACTGCTCTGGCATGGCTCAATCTATCTCAGAGCCCATTAGAGCCAGGGCCAATGACACATTAATTGCATGTCACGTCAGTCTACACTGAGGACACAGCTTCACTGCATCATCTACATGCGTCTCAACGTCACACATTGTGTGTGATGTGAGTGGCACGGCTCAGCTTCTGCAGTGTAAAAGCAACCTGTTCATCCTGAACTATGGTGGCCTGGCTCGGCACTGCTCTGGCATGGCTCAGACGTACCAGTGGAAGGATATAACAGTACATGTATGGCAATTTACCACATCTCAAATAAGGATGCGCATATACTTGCAAGTTATTAATTGAGATCTAAAAAACATTTCCCATTGCAAATATGTTTTTATATAAAATATTAAATCAAATTGGCAATGTTAGCTTTAAACAGCATTCATAATTGATTTTTGAAAGTGTTATAATGTTGTCGTGGCATTCAAAACTTTATTTTTATTTTTTATTTATCAAATTAGAAGGGACAACGATACATTAAATGAATTACAAACATTTCAGTATGCTTCTTGAAGTGCAATTACAAGAAAGCATATAAACATGTAAACTACCACATTTCATGAGATTTATATTACAGTGCAGTGCAAACAACAATGCAAAAAAGGATAGAGACATATACAGAGGCACAGGTTGCTAATTGCAACGTATGGCAACAGGCATTACGTTAATTGAATTGGAAAGCACAATTTATTTCTGCAGCCGATTATCCTCTGTTCATTAAACGTAAGTGCTAATAAAATGTCATTTTGTGCTACAGCACATATTTATGATATATGTAACTCTACTGTGGCCAAGAGACATATCAAAGTATCTTTCTGAGTACCTTATGATGATAATCATTTACAGCCCTTAGTCAATTCACTGCGAGGGCAAAGACCTCATGGGGTTTGTTTAACCATATTTTACCAGGCTGGTGGTTGGGGGTTGAAGACATGGTGCATTGGGCAGGTTCAGATTTCATTCGCCACTGATGTCAGCCGTGACCGGGAATTCAACTCATATTGTATTGTGCGAACAACTGTGCCACAGCTGCCCGCTAAGATAACGATAATTAGGCATCGTTATTAATGTTTTCAACAATACAAATGTTATACTAATTACTGTAGAAATAAGTGAAAGCACTGCAAGTGCATTGGATAAAAGTAAACGGATAATTTATTTAATTTGTTGAACATACTGTATATTGTTCCGTCTTAAATTAAATTAAACTTTTTGTTCTGTAAGGAATGTAAAGAGTCTGCCTCAGAACTCAACCCGTTATAATTGATCAAGGCATGACAGCATCCGTGCCACAGGGAATAAGCTAAAAGGATTGGAGCTTTCAATGGCAAAAAAACTCACCAGGTTTCATTGCTCAGCCAATACTTTCTTGAAGCAACTTTGTTGATTCAGGATAACACAAAAGCGCGTGCCGCATTCTTTGCAAAGTGAGTGCTTTGTGTGCAAACTCAATGAATAGGCATACATTTTACAAACATTATTTCTACTTGGAGAGATCATACAGAGGTTGTTTAAAATAACCAAAAGAGATTAAATCAACGGCATATCATTTAGGCTAACTGGAGAAAAATTTCCAAAGTGGTACGTTAACTTATTAAGCCGTTCTTCTTCATTCGTGTGGCTGATGTAGATGCAGAGCAACGACTACAATTTCAAATTCAGGTGGTCAAGCCAGATAAGCGCGTCAGGAGCAGCGGCGTGTATCGATGTGATGTCTTCTTCGTATTTGTAGATCGGGCATTGCGTTGTTATGTGTTGTATGCTCTGTTCTGTATAACCACAGTTGCATACTGGAGAGTTAAAAAAATGTCCATTTGTGCATCAGGTATCCACATCTACCATGATTTCGAAACGTTTTTTGGTTTGGCCATGTTTGTTTGTTGTAGTACGGAGTTAGATTGATGGCCTTAATCTAAGTTGTCTTGTGAATGTTGTTGTTTGACTTGCATCCCACTGGGGTTTTTGTATACAGCGTTGGTGTGCGGTGCTTTTTCTGCAATATTTTGCTGTCTTTTCTTGGATTTTCTGTTTGCACATCGTCACATAGTCACTTTAAGATGTTTTCTTGTTCATGTTTTTGTTTTTTGTTTGTTGCGGTTGCACCCGATTCAAGAGCCGAATGGCTCACAGGGCTATACCTAATACATTAACTTGAACTTGAACCATGGTTCGTGCAGATGTGGTTTAGGGTGGACCATGAGCTTCGTGGAAGATCAAACCATTTCCAAATAATGTGCAGGTGACTCCATTTGCATTTATTCTGTAGATTCAAAACATTTTGGCGGAGAAAAAAAAAGTGTGGCATTGCTTTCAGGGCAATCCTTGTATATAGTCATTAATTTATTGGTATTCAAAAAAATATTGAGGTTAATTAACCAAAAACAATGTGGCTGCATCATCATTTTAATCCAATAGCCCCATGCGATTGCTATGATCCAGTCATGTGTTCTGAAACTTTGTGCAATGGATAGTGCTGGCTCTCGCCACATGGTGGTACTCAAACCACATGCGTAAATGAAGCCCAAATTGATTCCACCGTAGAAACAAACTGTAAATGCTGAATGGTAAAATGTTAAGGTGCAGTCCTACAATTGGTTGCTTTACGCCACTACTGGTGGAACGGCCTCTACTAGAGGGAGCTCTAGGAGGGTATTTGGCCTACTCTTCCATGGTGGCTAGATGTCTTGGAAGGGGTGGGAGTAACCAGAATTCATGCCAGCACACGCAACCTGCCGATCAACTTAACAAATTGAGGGCAGTGAAATAAGGCTTATGTGACGGTTGAGTCACTATGATGTATTGGCCCTCACCACAGTTATAAGAGGGTGTTTGAATCCCACAGTACTTCGCTTTGTCGACAAATAAGGGAGACAAGATACAGTATTTGTAAATATAAGGGGGAGCTGTGGATGGCGACTCATTCAATAATTGAGCTGCTGCTAAGACAAGTCATGTGGGACACCCCCAGGTTTAGATGGCACATGCCAAATTCCTTTTAATCGGATATCTAAATCGGTCAATATTTTACGAACGATAAAAACCCAACACGTTCGGCAATATCATTGGCCTAAAAGAAATAAATATATATATTGACAAGATGAGTGCCTCCCCCCTTTCTTACCTATATAACCTCTTGCCATGGCAGCTCTCTCGCCTACTTCAGCATTTTCTTGCTGCGGTTGTTCCACCTGATGAAGATTTCTTGTGTTGCGATCGAAACGTCGTGATTTGTTTTATTTGATTTTATTTCTACCCACGTGACTTCACCGAAAGAACCAAAGAGTATGGATTCCCTCAGTCACGAAAGCTTCAACTCAAGATCGAAGACCGTTCTTCATAGCAGAGAGATGCTGTTCAGAAGGGCCATTGACCAAAACACCGGGCAGAGAGATGCGATGTTCATTTTTCTCTCTTGAGGGCAGTGCTACTGACGAATGCGTTGAGTTTTTTTTTATTTGTGCTCGTGCACCACTGCCAAGGCAGCATCAAAACAACAACAACAAAAGTGTATTGTTAATCAGAGATGAGGGGCAACGCACCTTGTATGAAGGAGCAGTCAGGAAACTCAGACGAGGCATGCTGGGTCGTGCAGGTGGACACACTCTGCTGGGAGAAGGAAAGGCTGCTCCTGCTCTTTCCTATGGAGCTGTCGTCAACGGGGTCACGCATCACTCATCGTCATCAACACCAGCGTGGCATTAAACAAAAACGTCATCCGCAGTTGACAGTGGGCATGTGATGATGCGTCGATGCTAATTATTCTCACGATCACTATTTTTTAGACCTGTATTGGAGGACGCGTGCGAGAATAGATTCACGCACTTGAAATTTGTGCACGTTGTATGTATGGCCATCAGAGGCGCTATATTTACAATAACGTAAAAAAAAAATTGATGTCTGAATCGTGGCCCCGAATGGTGACAATTATTCAAATTGTGAGGCGGGTGATTGATTGCATTTCTCATTGACAAAATTCAATTTAAACATTCTACCAAGTGTTTCGGGATGAATGGCAATTCATGCCACACGCTTGAAGCTTCTTCAGCTTATTCAGCTTTTTGTCTGTGTGTTTAGTTTGTTGTCCTTTCCCCGCACCTTGGACATCGTGTGGAACAAAACGCAGCGCAATCCAAAAACACATCGGAGAGCCGTATAGTGCAACAGTAAAAGTCTAAGCGGAAATAACAAAAATATATTCATAATCATTTTCATGAAAATTATTACTTAATAACAATGTGGTTCCTTCATGTCAAACTTTTCCCCAGGCTTCATTCTAAATAATGAATTATCTCATACCTCGGTGGATTGTCAAGCAATTGTGATTTAAGAACAATGAAAATAACCCTGATTACCATGCATATATATAGTGATGTACTGCATGAAAAATCAATGTAAGCATTTAACAAATATTTAATTATGAAGTACATATTCAGTCATACATGATTATTTTACCATTACTTTATTATTACACTTGTTTACCCAGGAAAGCCTCAATGAGTCTCATGACTATTTTTGAGGAGGATCTTGCCATATTTGGTAGTAGGGCAATAATTGCTAAGTATATTTAAATTGAGTAAATTTGGGAGTACATTTTGCAAATGTGGAAAATTTGGAGTACGACGCCGACACACAATGGCCTACTCTTGCGAATGATGTCACGGGATCCTGAAAATCGACTGGTTATGGTTAACGTACACCCACAATATTAACCAGGGCGGCCGCCCTGGTTAATACTGCAACAACAAGCGGCGAATGCGTTGCCGCAGGGCCATGTAACCTTCCCCCCAAAAAATAGGCACAGTAGACATTTTTGGAAGCGGAGCAGAGTAGTTATTTAAAGTAAAGTAATGAACACATGCTAAGTAACCAATGACATATTTACGTGGCGTGTGTGGTTATTTTTTAAATAGCTTACCGCTGCACCTCTGGAGACTTGCGCTGAATCCTGGCACTTGCCTCTATGACCTCCTTGGCAACCCTGCCTCTGGTGACCAGAAAGCCCTTGGTTAGAAGCGGTCATCTATTCCCTTCCGCAATTGCAAAATCAACAACAAAAATCATGAAGTTGCATTGGCAGTGGTGTGCAAGCACACATAATATAAACTCAAAACATTCGTCAATAACACTGCTCTAAAAGTAAAACATTATCTCTCTATATATATATTTTAGCCGATGTTTTGGACAATGGCCCTCCATAGCATGTAAGAGGCCACACAGAGAGATATAGTGAATAACAGTTGTCAACTGCACATATAATACTGTACGCTTGACCAGTATGCCACAGAATTGTTTTAATTACATTTATCAGACATTTGGTTATGTAAATTCATTTTAAATCAGGAAAAAAATAAGATTGCATTGTTCCTTTAGGAAGTCTATGTCGTGATTTCCCACCTGTATCTGAACCTTGACCCCCGGAAGAATAGGTTACTGCTCAGGACTGTTTTGATCTCACAGGATTTCTCAAACCTGCGCAGATGGGTGAGTGTGGGCGCACAGGTTAATGCATTAGAAGAGAATAAAACAGCAGCTACAGCGAACAAAAATGCCCCAAATAAACTGAAAAGCAGAGAGACGTGCAATTCTGTTATACTGTGTTTTAATGCACTACTTTGCTTTTCTTTTATCGCTCGGTTCATTTTAGACTTGCTGTGAAACACCACGAATGCACTTCATACAACAAATAAAGAACGCACAGTGCCTAAGAGCAGAACACAATTGTGAAAATTATAGCCCAGGCGCTGGCTATTGTAAAGCCACTGGATGTCTCTGCACTTGATTTGTTTAACCTGACATGTTCAGAGTGGAAAGAACGTACATGGTGCCCCAAAGACCAACCAAGCCGTTGGCAACAAAGCTGAATTGTAAGAGTCAACGACATGCCGATTCAGCCTCGGATATGCACTGAAGCTGCATTGTACAGGAGTTCTTTACGCACAGAGCATGCAAGAGCAAGGCATAAGAATTAGTTCATTTTACCCTGTGCAACTTGATCTCAAAGGTTTAAGCAAATCACGTAAGACACAGCACCTGAGCAGAATGTCATAATTGTGCGACGTATGGGAGTTGAATGGGACGTAGTGCCTTGTAATTGTTTTATTTAATTACGACAAAATCATAGTATTATACAACCAAATTCACTGCTGGATGAAGGCCTCCCCCATGCCGTGTTGGTTCTGGGGGTTGTTTGATCATACTTCACACCACACTGGTCACTGCGGGTTGATGAAATGAGGTGGGGAGGCACCCAGGACCAGGTTCATAGCCACTGTTCCAGCCCTATAATTTCAATAACATTTAATAATACTTAGAGACTATGACACATGATCAGAGATATACTCAATTGTCGCTATTTTCACAGCATCAAAAATGTATCTTACAATGTTTCCCGTATGTTATTTATAATCTATTGGATATTCATATATTATCCTGTCCAACTATTCCTAATCGGTGGATTATAATTATTTTGAATCCTTCAAATATGTGAATCGTAATTCGTTTGAATTCTTCTTAATTCAGCTTTATTCATTATTTTGTTTATAAGAGCCCGGCACAAAGCGCGAGCGGCGAGGTGGTCCAGATATTCCCCAGGCGAAAAGCCTGAGGCTGGGTGCTCATGGGGCAAGAGAAAGGGAATAATGTTGCCTGTCTGCCCTACTCACGTAGGGACAAAGATCGGGAACATGGTATTTTTAGGGGAGGTGAATATGAGGGAAAGGAGGGGATTGGGGGGGGGGAGCTTTATTCATTCTTAGCGTGGAAGAGTAGACCAAAGGCCCTCGTGCCAGTAATGGCATGAGCAAGTCATTTGCAGTTATGAATTATGCCACTGTCTGAACGACAGTGTCTGTGATAGCGCTGGCTATACGCAGGACTGGTCTGTAGTAGAAAAATAATGAGCAGGACATTTAAACAATATGAGTTTGAAGCTTACTTGTAAAAAGCCTGATTTTCCACACCACACTTCCAGAGGTGCTTGCAGGCAGACGGAGTGGGTGCATGGTATGTTAACACAGTCTTCTTCTAAAGGAAATGAGCAATTCAAGCATTAATAATGTTCGGTACGAAGTACATAATTACCAAGAGGCACTTCACTGGTTTCTACCGAGTCAAATTTGTAATTTTCTATATTAAAAAAAACTATTTTTATTCCTTTCCCTTTCATTTAGAACAGTAACGCCAATGTCACTTTCCTTTTTTTCCAGAAATGTATTCAAACCGTTTATTACAAAAAAAATCCCTTTAAATATACATGCTGGGAAATTGCCTTCAAAATGCATGGATTTTAATCGCTGTTTTAGAACTGCCGTGAACACTGCCAATTTACAGGAACTTACTGGAAATAACGATGAAGCAGACACCATTACGCTGTGAAACTATGCACTTTGAAATATAGATTGAAAACTAATTTCTTTAGAACGTTTTTTTGTGTTTAGTTTGTTGTCCTTCCCAGCCTCTCTCATTAGCATGGTTGGCTACGTACGGTGCAGATGAAGTTCAAAATACATACGTACAAACTTAAAGATATTACGTGCAAAGATAAGTAAAATAAATAGGATATCCAATAAACCTACCCCATTTTGCACACCGTGAACATAAAAGCTCTTTCCTTCACATTTCAGCTTGCCGACGTCCATCCTAGCAGCAGATAGATTAAAAAAGAAAGAAACAACTATAAGCACAATGAACTTGGCGATTCAAAACCAAAAACACTACAGATATTATATCACATTTACTCTTCCCAAAAAAGTATAATATACCAATCGCCAAAGGCCTTTGTGCTGTTGGCGAGCACCTATGACGGCCGCCACGGCGCATGCGGGGGTTGTAGGTGGCCAGCGCCGTGCCCGGTCACGATCATCTCGTCGATGCTTTTTTAGACACTGCACCAGGTACTCATTTAAGGCTGAGTCGATCGAGAGGAAACCCAGGACCGGTTCAGATAATTGCCACTGATATTGGCTGCACGCGGATATGTAAACTCGGGTCACCGGATTCATAGTGCAGTATGCTAACCGCTGCACTACCCATCTCCATGACAACACACCGTTCGAGTGGACACACGTAAATGTGAAAAAGGGCACATTATTTGTACAAAAACCAAAAAGACCAAGGCACAATGACACTGATGTGGGTTACACCCTGTCAGTGCATTGAGGACAACGTGGATGATAAGGATGGATGACTGGCGAGCTGGGGATGAACCAATCTGGGGTCATCACCCTGTGAGCTCACCACTTAAGCAGCTGTACTCGCTTGTTCCCTTGGAACCCGACGAACCCTGCGGGCGTGAAGCCAAGGAAGACCGTCGCTCCAGAAGGATCCTGCGTTCGGGGAGAGGACATTGCCGAAGGCTTTGCTACAAACAAGGGCTGCTCGCTATCCATTTGTACAACACCGATTGATCAGTTTATACCGATTCTTGAGTTCACGGTACATGCATCGGATCGCGAGATTATTGTTTGACATTTTTTTTCTTATCTCGGTTGCTGAGCAGAAGGACCCAAGGTCACAAATTGCAAGCAGCCAGCAACAAACAGCACCGCTAAACCTGTACAGTAATAGATAAGAGTAATACATTGCTTGTACTTAACAAGATGATACGAACTTGGGAAAAGTGAAGATGGGGATGGAATTCCAAAGTCGAGCAGTTTGAGGGTCGAAGCAGAGAGCAAAGTGTTTTGCGCTGTATAATCAGAATCAGAATATTCATTTATAGTGGACGAATCCAATGAGCGATAAAGCTCATTTACACTGATGTCCAGTTGGGGCAGGTCAGAACATTACAATACCGAAATAAAAAAGAACACGATCCGATTGCAAAGCATAGAAAATCACTGAAAAGAATATACAAATAAAACGAAAGTATTTTAATCTTATTAGGTAAAGCCCACTGACCGATTACATTCTTTTTCAGAAGCGACCCAGCCACAGATGATAGCTCAATGAAGTGACATGTGGAAATTTATAGCAGAAAAATCATCTAAAGACGTTAAACTCATATTCATATATGCGCTATGAAGGGAGAGAATTGCCCAATATTCACTTGTATATATTTATTTCCTTTTCAGGCAGTGTTATTGACAAATGTGTTGAGTTTTTTTTTTGCTTAATAATTTGATTCGTATGCGTTGCTGAAAGGGACGATGGCCGGAACCAGCGTGGAGACGGAGCGATGGGATCAGCTCGTGTGCAGCAGTGAGATGGGTCTGTGCATCACGTGGCAATGAAGGGTGGTAACAGCTTGATAGAGGTCATTATCCATCAGTGGATAGACGAGTATTATTACGATGTGTTTTACGTGTCAAGTTTACACGAACCTTAGAGCCACTTGTGACCATTACATTCACGGCAATGTAAAGCTATAAGTCAAATCATAGATCAAATCATTACCCTGAATTGGAACAATTCATTGCACTATGGGGGGCTGGGGAGGGAGGTACATTGTTTCACCTTTACTACAGGTAAACAAGAATAATACTACAACACACATTCTAAGCAGCCAGCAACACACGGCACTGTACAGTAATAGATAAGAGTCATGTATTGCTTATACTGAATAAGATAAGAACTTGGGAAAAGCGAAGGTGGAGGTAGGATTCCCGAGTCGAGCAGTGAGGGACGAGGCAGAATATGTACTTATTTATACCAGTGGAATGCGCCTTACAAATAAATGTCAATAATTATGACTACACCAGTTGGTTTTCAGCTTTGTTGTAATGGCTGTACAATCACCTATTATACCTTCATTGCCATTGAAGGCTCATTGGCTCGGTGTAGTTTCAAACGTCAGAGCCCAGAATAGCGGTCCATTCGCTCGGTTGAAAATACAGTAACAACATGACCTCGCAGTCATTGAAAATGCAGGTCGCTATCACCAAAATTGGAACTTCTTATCAAAGAGACTATTCTTCTTGGTTCTTTCGGTAAAGTCACGTAGAAGGGAAATAATAAAATAAAAAACATAATAAAATACAATTCTCACGACGTTTCGGCCACAACGCAAGCAGCCGTCCTCAGGTGAAGAACAGGTCTGTCGGAAAGACAGCTGTCTTTCCGACAGACCTGTTCTTATTATTATTTTATTATTATAGACCTGTTCTTATTATTTTATTATTTCCCTTCTACGTGACTTTACCGAAAGAACCAAGAAGATGAATCCCTGCAGTCACGAAAGCTTTAAATCGAAAGAGACTATTTTCAAAAACGATCAGTTCCAAACAGCAATTAAAATATACATGGAGCACCGAGAAGCCAAACTCATACATTATTCATTGTTTTCATAAAAAATTGATGTGGTTACTGATTTTTAATGCAAAATTTTCTTCCGTATAAACACAAAAATATGTATTTTAAGCTACAATCAATACACTGCCTGGTCTGGAATTTTGCAGCACGCCAGCAACTTGCTTATTATTATTTTTAATATATGAGGCTGCAGAATAAATACTGCAGAGTAAGGTAACAAGGCCTCGACACCAAGAGCTTCTTATATAAAACTGTACCATCAACAGAGCCGGTTTTATATTCAAGGCGGGGTTGTTACCATGTCCGGACAAAGGCAGCTGTGAATTAGCAAACATTACCCTTTAAAATGGGCCTTTGTGATTAGGCGCATACGACGATTAATGTATTCCTGAAATGTCACCGTCCGGGACAAGCCCAATTAATAACACCACGCAGCGCGCCCCCTTCTTACAAAACGCCAGCCATCATTATGCACACAAGCACTTTCAGGACACCCATTTTTTTTTTCACGGACAATTGTAAATAGTTCATGTCAACGCGAGCTTGCCTAAACATAATACATAACAACGCCTGAAAATGTCTACAGCAGGTAAAGGTGCAGCCCTGAAATGTCTTGCTCACGCCACTGTTTATGGAAGAGCCTCCACTAGACGGAGCTCTAGAGATTCCCTGATAGAGGGTATCTTTGCCTACGAATCCACGCTAAACAGACGCCTTGAAAAAAGTAAGCGTATCCCCGACCTTTACTCTGTCACATGTGACCTGGCAATTGTTCTGCTGGGTGGACAGAGGGCCTTCGCGAGCTTGGCCATTGTCTCAACTGGGGGTACGGAAGTCGACTGGAACCGGTGACCACTCGTTGCACTGCAGCAGCACCCCTCGGAGACGCAGTAGAGATTGGGAGAAATGAATGAATACATGGTTTGCGAGCACTTGATGTGAAATGCAAGGCTGTAGGCATGGAGTCAACATTGGGGGGGACCAAATCTTCCAGGGGGTCTGGTGGTCCCCCCCCCCCCAGAAAAAAAATTCTGAATTTGAAAACGAATTTCCTGCCTAAAATATTAAAAAATTCACTAACATATAGGATGGACTTTTTATTTATTTTTTACAATAATGTCTAATAGTGTATTGTATTACATTGCTCTGTTTTTTCTTTTTTTCCTTTTCTTGTTTCATTGTATGTAATGGCAGAGATTAGGGATTTATAAAGTACAATCATAACCACAATCATATAAACAGAAATCTATTTTATAGCAATATATTTGGGGGGGACATTTTTACCTGCTGTCGACATTTTCAATATATATTATAATTACGGCCTTGGTGAAATGTATTCACGTTTAAAAAAAAAGAAGAAAAAAACACGAACATGTACGCACCCCCCACTGCAGATGCCTCGGAGGCACGTTCACTTAGTGAATACTTTTGCCTTGAAAGAGACATTGTTTGGATTTCAGCCGGTGGAGCAGATATTAATCCGAGGAGCTTTTGCTCCCCCGGGCATGAGGCTATTTGTGACAGAAGCCCTGCAGAGGACGAGTCAATGTGATTGTGCACCAGTCACGAAGGCAATGGTCTCAAAATGAAGAGGTGATGATGACTGGATCTGTCTGAGCAGAGTGAGGCACCATTGTTATTTAATCATCATCATCTCGTAGTTCACATTTATTGACCGGTGAATGCCAAAAAAAACAAAGAGGGCCTGAGCACTTTTAAGTTATAGCCACACATTCAGAACACATTCACATCCAAAATAACTTGCACAATACGTTTTGAGAAAATGCAGTCGTAATTCATGACCCACAAATGTTTAAATACTGAATGCAAGGACCAAAATACAATTTTAGACTACGAATGTAATAATTAAAAAAAATTCTGAAAATGTATATGATTTATGTAATGATATCTTCAACAAATAAGTGAAGATTAAGCATGGAAAAAGTGACATTCTGATACACCAATATTCATCAAGTCATCAACAAACACTTGTCATGTTGTCGACCTAGAAATATAACATCACAGCTAATAAAAAAGCTTTGTATGAAAACAGAATCTTTAAAATGAGAGGCATGAATGAACATAAAGCTTCATGAGATCTCAGACCCTTACACGGCACTTGGGCATCAGCTGACATCTAGTCATGCATCTAAACTCAATTAACTTTCAGCCTATATGACCAACTTAAAGAAACTATGAACAAATATTTATGGCAGTCGGCATGCACCACCTGACCCAAGAACAATCCCCTGGTTTCCCTTACAGCCTGAAACTGCAAGTGGTTTCGTTAAGTTATACGCGTGCCGTTGAGTCCTCACAATCCTGGGAGGGAATCCTCCGTTCGTACTGCTGACTCCCTGCTACTTTCTCAAGGATCGAGGCATTCCTCCTCGCCCCTGCTTGTTACTGAGTGTCCTCTATCTGTCAAGTGTCTTTAACGGCACCCTACATGAAAAATAGATTGGCCTCCCTTGTCGGCGGTGCACATTTCCCGATTTTGCATATGAAAATAAATTTTTTAGACGCGATATAAATCCACATTGTGTTGTTTCACAATTGATATTTGGGTCAGATGGTATAAGTAAGATGTGTGTCCTCCACCCTCCTCCACCCAGCATAGCCAATTAATGAAGTTGTCACGTGGCGAACAAACGTGCCTCTTTATTACTGCTTCAGCAACACACCGGTATGTTGGAGAGTGATCCACGTACATCTAACAATTGGGTCGTCCAACTTTTCTCTGGTAGTTACAACCATCATCATCAGGCAGTTGCCAGATCTCTGGCTGTCTTGGGTGGAGGAGGGTGTTCGGCACGCATTTTACATACGCGAACTGATCAACATATCAATAACACTGTCAACACACTTTTTCTGGCATAAGGTATTCCAACGGTATGAATGTAATTTTGGGCTGCTGATTCCAAATCTGGCATCAGTTTTTGTCTATCACGTCAGGTTTTTGAGATATCAAAATATTGCATTTTCAATAAAAACTGCAGAAGAAAAATATTAAATAAATGTGGATATCTACATAAAATTATATTATAAACACACTATCCTAAAAATACAGCACCATATTTTAACACTTAAGCAGTCACTGACTCGCAACAACTTGCAATCATAAGTGACAGAGTTAATTTCGGGTAAAATCAATGAAAATGGGGTATGCCGATAGCAGAAAAATGAGATGTGATAGAGCAAATCTGAGATCAGATTTGGAATCAGCACCCTGAAATTAGTCTAAAACAGCTGCAAAAGTCCACGCCAGAATTTTTTTTTTTGTTGACCAGTGTAATGAATCATAATATTGGTTGCAAAAGCCTACGTGTTGAATTGACCAAATTTTATCGCATTTTAACGATTCATCGCCGACTGTAACGATGATTTTCCCTTCCTTCCATGTTGAGTCCCAAACGGTGTATTATCCTGTCATGTGCTGAAGAGGACGCCACGATGGCACGAGTGACCAGTTCCATGGACTCGATTACCGCGGACTCGATTTACCTTGCAGGGATGAGGGTCCACTGTGTACGTGTCCAAACCTTGGGCCCTTATCAAGAAATTGATTTCGGCCACAGCCGGAGTCTGGCCTCTGTAAGGGAATTCAAAGACAATAGACGCAAAATGTGTTAAAACAGGGCTTCTAGCATTTGGTATGCGTGCAACGTGATACATATTGAAACGTAATCTACTGCCATAGGTGCAGCCCTGCAACTGTTTGGTCAAGCCACCGCTGGCAGAAGGGGGCTCGACACGAGGGAGCCCGAGAGAGCTCTCTCTCTCTTACAGGGTACTTTGGCCTACACTTCCACACTGCCGAGATGTCTTGGAAGAGGTGGGAGCACCTACACTTTCTAAATATATGCTGGAATTTTGGCCAAAATTGAACTACATGACAAGCAGTGCTGATAAAGTGTGGAGGATTTGCCTTTAATTTGAGACATTGAGTACAAACTCTTGGCTTTCGAGAAAATGTTTCACAAAAAAAGCAAGAGCACACCTGCGAAGAAAGCAACAATGGTTAAATTAAATGCATCCAGTCCCCGTGTGGTTCAATGCAGTGAGATTATTTGCCTTTCGTTGAAGTGAAATAGTTCCAGTTGTTAAATGGATGAAAGCGTCCAACTGGCTGGAAAATGTTTGATAAGAAATTGTCTGGCAGGCCTCCTCCCACTTCATGTGTCAGTAGAGTTGGAGAAAAACATCGGTTTAGTGGCTTTAAGCTACAGCCAATTTTCCAGCGACGAACACATTTAATTGCATTTTATTCATTACCATAATGCGCCTGTGATGTGCATGCTTTTCATCAATGTGAAAAAAAGGTTTCTTTGTAGCCTGCATGTAACCAGTGATAGTTTATTATATATTTCTATTGGAGAAAAAAAATCCTACATTAAAATTTTTCAGGAGGAAAATAACGTTACAACTGCAATAATGTTTAGTTTAATCACGAAAAATGTTTCGTTTTATATAGCGCCATTCATGCAAATTGTGTCTCACAATAGCTGCAAATAACACAGACAAGATGTAAGAGGACTGCAAATTCCAAGCTTTGCAGGACTGAAAAGCCCAAGTGTCCAAGCTTTGCAGTCTTCTTCATATTTACTGGACATCTGTAAAAAAGAGCTTCATAACTCATCGGATTCCTCCAGTATAAATACAGATTCTGATGTTAAGATATGTTCAGTAAATTAATGAGTGTTTATAAATGTGGACGGAAACCGGAGTACCTGGAGAAAACCCATGCGAGCAAGGGAACAACAGTACTCTATTCCATACAGATGGAACAGATGGCGTCCACATTTGCTCTACCGCCTTCTGCTAGAAACCCAGGGCATGGCCCCTCAATGCAAACGGGATGGTAATTTCACAACATTCGAGCGATCCATCAACCCTTGCCTCCACAGTGGTGGATTACAAGTGTGCACCACCTCCACCAGGCAAAGACAGTACTACGTAAGCATAACTAAGCACAGGGTGGATCGTGACACATTGGTTAGCGCAGTACGCTACAAACCTGGCCACCTGAGTTTGATTCCTGGCTATGGCCAACATCAGTGGCGAGCAATATCTGAACTGGTCTTCCCTCCAACCTCCACCCTTTGCCAACCCACAACAACCAGTGCACTCAAACAACTCTCAGGACCGACACAGCATGGAGAGGCCATTATTTCAGAATACGAATATTTATTTATACTGGAGGAATCCAATGATGTATTAAACTCTTTTTAACAAATGTTTAGTAGCGCTGAATTGACAAAGGGGTGTGATGTATTCATTATTATTATTCTTGTAAATCAACAAAATTCCAGCATACTGCATATTTGTAATGAATTGTTTAAACAAATCTACACAAAAAAGGAGAAAAACATAATAGAAAAAAAGCAAATGCACTATGCATATTTAAAAAACAGACGGAAAGATCAATATTTTGACAAAGAATCAACGGTAATTCCCCACAGCCGCTGGACATGCATTGACTGTTTTCTTGAGTAATGACAATTTAGGATTTCATTGTTTTACCAAAATGTGGTGAAGCTGTCGCCCTGCAATTACTTGCTCACACCACTTCGTATCGATCTAACTGCTATGCCAGGGAATTGCACTGGCTTACTCGGGATTAAAAGTCCAGTGTGCTAGGCATTACACTAAGCAGCAAACAGTCAATTGGCAGGCCACGTATGCTTTTGCGAAGTATGGCTACTCCAAACTCCTCCCCAGAATATCTGGTCAACTGGACATCAGTCAAAAAGAGCCTAATAGCTCATCGAATTCCTCCACTATAAATACACGTTATGATTCTGATTGAAAGAGTAGGCCAAATACCGTGTGTAGGGGATATCTCGAACTCTATCTCGTGGAGGTCCTTCCACCAGCAGTTGTGTAAGCAAACAATTATCGGTCTGCACCTTTACTTTTAGATTTGTTCGACCGCGGGGTTTCTTTGAGATGAATGTCAACTGGATGGGAACTGCACTTTGCGAAGCGTCCACTACAACCACAACATACATCCCAGGTGTGCGGGAAGTCAGTGAGCTATGGGTTTCTCTGCGATGAACGACGGACCTCCGTGACCTGAAACATTATAACTGGGGCCACTGCCACTGCCTATAATACTACACCTGGCGAAAATGAAAATTTCTACGCAAGAACCTGACGGTATTGACTGAGCCCATTCCTTTACCCTGACAATTATTAAAACGGAGCATATTGACCACTATAAACGCACCCACATTCGTTTCTATTCGATATATGTTATAATAAATAGTGTTTAAGTGATTTTGTAAGTACGATATTTATGGATTCAACCTTACATAAAAAATACATATTAACCAACCTATGTCATCTTATCTTTTGTATTCATATTTAAATGCTTTTAAGTTAATAGTTGATTAGTGTTTCTCTCATTAAGATGTAAAACAGCCTAATGCTTAGGTCTTCTCAATGTGCAAACATCGATGAGAGTGTTGGATTTAGGCATCCTAAGCTTGTCGCTCACTTTGTGCTCAAGCCCTATAAATTTGAATTTTCCATCATCATCATCAACTATGATTGACCCACCACTGGATAGAGGCTTCTCCAATCCATTACACTCCCTCTAGGCCTCGTTATGCAACGATCCATCGAGTTGACACACGAGCAGATGTTATCGCTCCATCTCCATCGTGGACATCCCCTGGCGCTGTGTCCTGCACCAAAGCCCAACTATTTTCCCTTAAGAACAAATACGATGCCTCGAACTTATTTTTGTTCTCCGATCCATCTGTTCCACTTTATGTCTCTCAGCAGCAACCTGGGACCAGGTGAAAGCTCTCGACGCACGCTCACTCAACGTCGCGCATTTCGCTGATCTAGTCCCCAATGACCACTCGGTTTTGCATGTGCCAAGACTGGGTGTGAAGAGAGGTGGGGGTGTAGCTCTGATTTTGCAATCTGATCTCATTTGGAACATTCATCCAGATCCTAGAGTCGGGTCGTTTGAGTATGTGATGGATTGGAGCCGAGGGATATATTTCACTCTTGTATACAGGCCACCTGGTCCCAGTGGTGATTTTGTGCATTATTTGTCCGAGGTGATCTCCCCACTGATGTTGTAATTCCCTCGCACTATCGTGCTGGGAGATTTCAACTCTTGGGTTGTTGATCCCACAGACGAATTTGCCATACATCTGTAGTGACATGGAATGAGTCACTGTAGCACGTGGCGCTGGGAGATTGGTAGACAATGGAATTCGGGGTAACAGCCCGTTTAACCAGTTGGACCCGTGGGCCAAGCCCGGAGCCTTCTGGGGGATCCAGAGAGGGTCCGTGGCCGAGGGCGGAGCCTGGCCACGCTGGGGAGAATACAAGGCGAGCTCCGACTCACAGTCGGAGCTGCTGCCATCGGGAATGGAACTCGTCATGCTGTTGTCGTCGTGGTCTTTGCCTCTTCAAGTTGTGGGTCTGGAAGCACGTTGGCTGTCCCGACCCGGTATGGAGTGATCCCCTGTGGCTGTGAGAGCCGGAATAAACAAGAGGGATAACGCCACCGACTAGTGTCTCTGAATTAGTTAACTACACATCTACTGGACACAAGGAGGTCTATGGGGTTTTCTCAGTCTGTGGTGCAACTCATGATCATGGTCATACACTCGACCTGATCTTCGCCCAGGGTGCTAAAGTTGGGGAATATAGCTTTCTCTCTGCTCCATGGACTGATCATCCACAGGGTGATCTAGGCTTTAGACCAGGGGTCGGGAACCTTTTTGACTGGGAGAGCCATAAAAGCCAAATATTTCTAAATATATTTCATTGAGAGCCATATAGTATTTTTAACGTATAATAAATTAAATATGTCTTACTTTTAATGCGACTTCTGGTCACGGGATCCGTGACCCGAGAAATTTTATCTTCAAAACTAATTTCTGTTTACTTTAAAATGACACAGTATTATTAAGCAATATCACAAGTATTTTAAAATCAGTTCCAAACTGATTTTTTTTTATTATTATTTTTTTCAACTCAAAATTGTCTGGGAGCCATATGCCATCACCGGAAGAGCCATATATGGCTCACGAGCCATAGGTTCCCGACCGCTGCTTTAGACGGTGCAGTGGTTTCGAGTCTCGTTGGATTCAGTCTAAGAAGCGAATGGATCCTATTGAGTTCGATCTCGTCCCAAGGATCCATTTAGCCTCATTCCCAAACAGGGGCACCACCATTGAGCAAGTCGATAAGTACAACGGCAAATATGATAATTGGTTTTTTACCCTTCTATCTGGCAACAAAACTGACACCTTTTTACAAGGAGTCATGTTTGCGTAGACCACAATACCTGCAGTTATAATGCAAACAAAAAGCATAACTCTGATAATGTGCACTGCCCTTGAAGTTGATTGGTCCACACCCGAGACAGCTTTCCTTAGAGCCTAGTCTCACATGGGTTGGACCAGATGATGCCAAAAGGCGCACAACTCAAAGACAATGCACCATCAGAGTATGAGAGCTCGGGGTAAGCGGTTCCAATGGTACGACGGCAAACTTTGCTCTGCCGTTGATGGTATCGTGCCTCGTCGGTTAGCCCCCGTTCGCCCAGTGGTGTCTGCCCCTTGGTATTCCGGCGAGCTCCACTTTTGGAAGCAAGAACTTTGGAAGAAGGGACGCTGTTGGCATAGATCTCATTGCAGATGTTGATGAGGAATCTCTGGTGGCTTGTCAACAATATTACTTTAAGGAGGTTTATCTGGCCAAAACATATTTTATTGCAAGGAAATTGTAATTCAGCAAGGAACCACTCGGCTGAGCTCTTGAGGATGGTCGACAATTTGTCACATCCTGACTGTACACCCATCAGGATTATTCCTTCTGTTGAGCGATGCAGAGATTCCCATCAGTTTTTTACTGGTAAGATTGATCTCATCCGCAATACAATCAGCCCCCCAGATTGTCCCATTGTCAGCCTCATGGCAAATACTCATCTCGTTCTGGATAAGGTTTGCCCCAATTTCTTCCTCAGCCCTCTTGCAACTTGCTTCCGGGTTGAATCGGACTACCTGTGATTCGGATCCCTGCCCTTCGTGGCTCCTTAAGGAGTCATTGGAGACAGTAGCTCCAATGCTTACATCAATCATGAATTCCTCCCTTTTGAACGACGAGGTCCCTGTGTCCCTTAACAAGGCCGTGGTACGGCCACTTCGTAGGAAAGCCGGGACTGGATGGTGATGTATTAGCAATATATCGCCCAATCTCCAACCTCCCATTTCTTGGGACGTTGTTGGAGAAGGTGGTCTCAACCCTGTTGGTACATTACCTTGAGTCTGTTATTTTTTTTATATTACTCAGTCCGGCTTTCAAGCTAGGCACAGCACAGTGACGAGCCTCATTTGTGTGGCTGATGACCTTCAGTCCATGGATAGGGGACAGATATCCATCCGTCTTGCTTGATCTCTCAGCAGCTTTCGACACAGTTGCCCATGCAGTTCTGCTACAGCACCATGGCAGGAGAACCATGGCAGTGGAGGTGATATTACATTTAAAATAAATACGGAGTACGGTGGAGAACGACATGGGACGACGGCAACATCCCCACCGAGAGCCTCGCCGCCGACCCCGGCACAGAGACCTGCTGGAGCAGGAGCTGCCAAGGAAGGCAACGGTCCGCTTCGAGCCGCGCGTGGACGTCGCACAACAAGGCGCCCCGCCGGTCACACCGGCGGAGGATGGAGGAGCGGCCGCGGCCGTCGAAGCCAAACGGTGGAACAGCGTCTTCTGGCAATGCCCGCTGGCGACGTCTCGGAATGTTCACGGCGTCGCTCCCATAGCCCTCGACTGGCTCACCGACTTCGATATCAACATATGCAACGTTTCTAGTCACTGTGCCATGTGAAAGGAGGAGTGTAGGTATTTATGTTGAACTTGTTTTTCACTGTGCGTATCCAACCGTGCTGATCGTAGATGCAGGGGAAGGACAACAAATGAAAAGTGTAATGCAAGCATGCATCTGTCAATGCTTCTTTGCACACTTTTCATCTTTTGTTGAATTTTATTTTCCAATCTATGTCATAGCAGACATGGTGTCTCTTGCCTCTCTTTATTTAATAATTTTCATGGTTCCTGGGCCACATGCAATAATTCACTCTAGGTGCACGTGATTTGCTACATCACAGAACCACAAGAAATGGCGACGAATTAGAGAGGCCTTCCTCCAGCAGTGGATTCATCATGTCTGATAATGATGAACCTAATTTTGCTGTTTTCATGCTCTAATTTTATGCTCTTGACTTTTTGCCATACAACATAGATAGTCTTTATTTAGTAGTAATAAAATATTAATGTTGGGGTTCCCCCCCCCATCCCCCATTCACTCAGAACTAATTAAGGCCAAGTCTTTGTAATTTGGTCATTATCGAGCAGAAAGGTTACAATTAGAAGGCTCCCTCATGCGCACCACGAATGCTTTTCAAAGCCAAAACAGCGCTACGAAACATATGAAAATATATCACTATTCTGTGCAAAGGTTTTAGTATCGGTGCCTTTTAGACACAATGCAAACCCAGCGTGATGCCCTCTAACAACAAAATTGCGTGTCAATGATGAAAAGGTTTCCTGAAAAAATGTGATCGTAAGGTTCCCAATTCTGTACTTTACAATATTGCCCTTTTCTGTAAAATAAAATAAAACGAGTGCGCCGCCTTGCGCACATTCCTATCGTTCCGGTTGACTGAGTGGCTTATCGATCGCACGACTGCTGCATGTTCTGTGCCAAAGTCTGAGAGCTTTGCACGTCGTAGGCACCTGGCGCTCAGCACCACGTGGCCACGCCAAGGGCTGTGCATTCCGGCAGAGCTTTGAAACATCCATCCATGAACACCAACACGTATGCTGCGATGGTGTCAGCACACGGCACCTCTTGCAATCCAGAGGTACCCCGGTTTAGGTTTCGTCTCCCAGCGCGGGACTCGAAATCATGGGTGAAATGTCTTCATTCTCCATCCCCCGTAACCCCCCTTGTCACCATCTCTGTCCACCCAGCAGTATAAATGGGTGCACCACAGTTTTTATTTGGACAGGTCACGTGTGGCGGGGTAAAGTATGATAATTCGCGCATGTTCCCGTAGGCAAAATTCCCTTGAGGGGCTCTCAAGTGCTCACTGTTGGAGGTCCTTCCACCAGCAGTGGCATGAGGAAGATATTGTTTGGGCTGCACCTTTCCTCCAGACACATCGGAAACCCTCGACCTTTTTATTGCACGCTCTCATGTTGCCCAGTCTCTTGGCCGTGCCATGCAAAATGTTTTCGTGGCTGGTGTTGGCGAGAGCGAGTAACGAGGGTGCGGTGGCGCGGGGTGAGAGCGTGGAGACTCACCTCAGCTCGTGGCGGTGAATCTCGGCCACTCTTGCCTCCAGCTTTTGTGAGAGACGCGGGAAGAGCTGCATGGCCGAGACGTATCCATCGTGGTGGTCCAACGGGTTGTAGTCTCCCAACTCGGCTGCCAGACATCGACGGTTACAAGACAGTTAATCCTTGGCAAGATGGAGCTTTGCGGCCAGTGCATGCCGCCAGCGAGCTGAACTCAAAACACATGAGTTCACGGCAAGATTATTAGCTCCAAACTTTACAATACATCTTGACTTAAAGCTTTCGTGACTGCAGAAATTCATATTCTTTTGGTCTTTCGGTAAAGTCCCGTAGATATGGCCGAAACGTTGTGAGAATTATTTTATTATGTTTTCTTTTTATTATTTTATTACTTCCCTTCTACGTGACTTTCCCGAAAGAACCAAGAAGATGAATCCCTGTAGTCACGAAAGCTTTAAATCGAAATTTCACGTAGATATGTTCAAAGAAAATAACAAAATAACAAAAAAACTACGACGTTTCGATCGCAACACAAGCGGTCGTCATCAGGAAAAAGGAGGGTTAGCTTCTAAAGACAACTGCTTATAAAGGTCTTAAATGGGCGTAGCCCAAATGTCAGCAGCCAATGCCAATGCAAGTGGTGGGCTGCGACCGCGACGGTGGTGGGCTTTCCACCAATCAAAGGGCTGCCAGGGAAAGATTAGCATGTCAATGCAAGATCGCTGAGCATCCTATCTATGTGAAATCTTGATTGGAAGCTTTCGTGACTGCAGGAATCCATACTCTTTGGTTCTTTCGGTAAAGTCACGTAGTTAGAAATTTTTTTTTTTATTTCTAACTACGTGACTTTACCTATATACGTCACTTTACCGAAAGACCAAAAGAATTTGCAATACATTTGCCTGCTAAGGGACACAGTCTGTTAAGATTACTCTTGCGTTACAGAACTGCTTTTTGTGTTTAGTTTGTTGTCCTTCTCCAGCACGTCCGATTAGCACATGTACAGTACGAAAGAAGTTCAACATACATGCACCTTCATGGAAACTGTCTGTATAGCACTCACACACACCTCGTGCTGTCTAGTACAATAGACAACCGTGTGTTTTTGCAACAAGGCGAGCAGTTTCTAAAGAAAACCTCAATCTGATTAGCACCTAAAAAATGTAAACACCATCAAAAGTGAAAAGTCAAAGTATCTTTCGACTCGAGTAACATGGGACGGTTCTCTTTACATATGTATAGCACTGTGCCAGTGATGGATATGCCACATTCCGATAGTGGGGATGAGCTTACCCACGGTAAAATAGAGTCAACCCCGAAACGGGGTATGAACTTGCAACCTCCCAGTTGCGAGTCACACACACTGTCATAAGATGTAACCACTGACCAAAATACGAATCTACAAAAACGTTAACATTTGAAATTGAACCACATGACTCCAACAGAAACAGTCATCTTCATTCCCTCCCCGGTGACATCCAACACTCATGTTCACACGTTGATGACAGAACTGAAAGAATTGAGCACTGTTTCCAACGAATTTTAAAATAGAAGTGCAGGTTTCACACATTAGGCTCGAAAACCTGCAGAGGAATGCTCACTGCGATTTCTTGAAAAGTCTACCTAATATTCGGGGAGAAAATTACATTTCATGTATATGCAATTCTATCGCTTGCGTACTGATGATGTCGTCTTAAAACATGAGAAGATGTCGTAGCTCTCCCGACATGTTGTTCGGCACTATGTCAAACATTTCTCAGCACGTGCCGGGAGCATCTTCAGGAACTGAATTGGAAGCTCCCATTAAGTATGCTAAACAAAACATAGGACTCATATTCTTAGGTTTTTTCGGTAAAGTCACGTAGGTAAAAAATAAAAATTAATAAAAGTAAAATAAAAATAAAATAAAAATCACGACGTGTTGCCTCCGAAACGTCGTGATTTTTATTTAATTTTTATTTTACTTTTATTAATTTAAATTTTTTACCTACGTGACTTTACCGAAAAAACCTAACAATATGAATCCTTGCAGTCACGAAAGCTTCAAATCTAGAAAAAAAAACATAGGACGTCGTGCCTAACAATGCATGGTACAAAATGAAAAAAAACACACACTAGTGAGCTAAGGAGCACAACCGTGAAACTATACTCAGTGAGAATACGTAATACCAGTCAATGGAATGGGCAAACACAAATTCCGGACCCTCTTTAGAAAGAGTCCCGACACTTAGTGAGGCTACCCTGGATAAATATATAAACAGTGCCACTGTTACTGCTTCTGAGGTGGAGCAGTGGCGGAGTGGTTAGCGCATTGTGCACTGCATCCTCAGTTGACTCCCAGCCAACTGCTGACATCAGCGTCAGAAAATATACGAACTGGTCCTTGCAAACAAACCGCCATGGCTTACATGGTGTGTGGGGATGCCTTCATCCTACAGTGGATTGACAAAAAATTGTTGAATCTTATCAAATAACAAGCACAACTGGTAAGGATGGTGAAAACGTTCAACATTGCCTTAACGAAATCCAGGCATCAGCGATGCAACATACTGCCGGTGAGTGTGAATCCTGCATGTTTAATATTTAAATGCCATGCTTCTGACAATCTGTGAAATATATTAAAAATGCTGGTGTGTATATTAAGCACATTTTGGATGTGCGCTGTCTGCATGAGGTGAATGCAGAACAGTTGTGGCTGTATTTTTGGCAGATGTCTGGACTGCTGTATCACAACCTTTTTTTGGCCTCTGGGCGATGCCTCTTTTGATTGACATGTCCCTTTGGACTGGCAGTGCAAACGTTATCATTCTTATTTTTGGCTGCAATTGCAATATCAACAGGGGATTTATTTTAAAATTATTTTAAAATCCCCACAAATGTCAATTGCCAGGGCTTTATATTTTACAGGTGGAGAGTTTGAGCAAGTGGTTAGAAAGCTGCGTTATGAACCTAGCAACCTGAGTTAAATTATATATTCTTGGGTCTTTCGGGAAAGTCACGTAGATGTAAAAAAGCTATGCTTTTGCCACATAATAATAAAAATAATATAAAAATAATACATTTAAAATAATAAAAGCAAAAAACCCACGACGTTTCAATCTGAACACAAGCGGTCTTCATCAGGCGGAGAGAAAAGAGGGGGCAAGCCTCCAAATGCAACTGCTTATAAGTTAAATTCCTGGCTACGGCTAACACCGATGGTGCATGATATGTGAACTGGATTCCTGGGCTACCAGCCTTTACCAACACACACTGACCAGCGTGTTGAATTCTTGTCAAACAACCCCCATGACTGACATGGCATGGGGAGGCCTTCATCCTGCAATGTATGGTAAATAGCTGTAAATTATTATTCATTTAATTGTAAATGAATTCAATTGTATGCATATGCAGCATTAGATAGCCTTGGTGCAGTGGTGAGTGCAATTCACTACGAACGCAGCAACCTGAGTTCAATCGGTGGCAAGATGTTAACTACCTCGTCGTGGGTTTGATCCCAACCCTGACACCTGTATATTTGGAGTTTGTTCTCCCCATGGTCGCGTGCATTTTTCTCCGGGTCCTCTGATTTTCCCTCCACATTTAGAAACATGGAATTAGAGTATTTGGCTGCTCTAAATTTCCACATGGTAAGCCACTTAATTGAGCTACCATTTGTGACCAGGTCACTTCTGAAAAAGAGCTATATAGCTCAGTAGGCCTAGACCTGGAAAAATAAACATAGGTTATTTTAAATATCTTTTTGAGGAATTCAGAGGCCCCCAAGCATACGGAGCAAAACGTCGAACATCGTGCCGCATGGCGCGGCGTACGACCCGAAAACACGTTAGAGGGTCACAATCACTCGATGCAAATTCAGGGACAGTACAGACAAACGTCGCGGAATTTTAATTCCGGTAATTATTTTTCTGCTCGTTTTTTTTTTCAAGTCCAAAGTGGGCCCAGCCCACTCCACTGTTGTGTGCCAAGAGTCGAGATTATGCAGATGGGGCTTGAGGTATTGCAAGCATGAGTACCTTGCAGGATGCAGGCTCCCAGCCAGGCGGCCTCAGATGTGGGGCACAGCAGGCGCCCGTGGACGACATCGCGCTTGATCTGAAGGTACAGCTGGTACCTGCAAGCACATTGCGGAGCCAGTGCACACTTGTGGCTGCATTCGTATGCATGTTGAACTTCTTTCGCACCGTACATAGCCAATGCTGCTCATCGGAAGAGCAACGGTATGCTATAGCTGCGCAACCTTTACACCTTTTACACTATGAGACATCTCCTTTATCAGTGGCAAAATATAGTGATAGATTTTTACCCTTTCAACTGGTACAAAAACTGACACCTTTATACAAGGCATCATGTTTGCAATAACCACAACACAAGCAGTCAAAATGCAAATAAAAATAAAACAACTCTGATAATGGTATGCACTGTCCTTGAAGTTGATTGGTCCACACCCGAGACAGCTTTTCTTAGAGCCTAGTCTCCATTGGTGTTGGACCAGATGACGCCTTTTGGCTGTCTTGGGTGTGGACCAATCAACTTCAAGGACAGTGCATATCATTATCAGAGTTGTTTCTTTTTGTTTGCATTTTGACTGCTTGTGTTGTGGTTATTGCAAACATGATGCCTTGTATAAAGGTGTCAGTTTTTGTAGCAGTTGAAAGGGTAAAAACCTATCACTATAACCTTTACACCGCATGGAAGCTGTGGCCCTATCGTGCTGATTTATAAGAACAGTGTAGCCCTGCAATCCGTTGCTTACGTCACTGTTGGCGAAAGGGCCTCCACTAAAGGGAGCTCTAGAGGGCTTCTCCAGAGGATTTTTGGTCTACTCTTCCATGCTCTCCAGACGCCTTAGCAGATGTGAGTTCCCACACTTCACCACACCACGTTATGATGTGCGCCCCTGCCCCTCAGAGTTCAGTGAATTGTCACAATGCAGGGTCACAATAGGATTCAAGAATCAATTAAATTTTTACTCCATTGTGGTGAACACAGAGGCTAAAATGGCTGCAAGGATGACTAAATAAAATTGTATACGACACATACGCATCCAAAGTTATCGATTCTTGCACGCATAGTTTGATGCATGTATCTGAAGCAAGAATATATCTCAATCAATTAATGTATACATCGTTACATGCCTACTATGTACTATCATTTGTATTCATTCATCACAGGTATTCAAATACATTAGTATTGGGCTGCAAGATGGCCAGTAGATGGTAGTGTTGAGTGCCACCCCATAATACATGTGGGTTTTCTCTGGGTTCCCTGCTTTTCTCCCACATGAAGCCAAACTCTAATGTATGGAATTGGTCCAAAATTTCTAAAGTCTTGGGATTCAGTGAGGCTTTCCTAGGTAAATTAATGGCATTATTATTTTAATAAGCTCACAAACAGGGCACATATTACATACATAGTGTTCTAAACTGCATAATCCACGAATGGAATTTTATTTCGTAAAAGCTGCAATATATTTTGGCAGGATAAACTCATTGTTTGCCGCACGTACCAACCTGGGCGAATAGACTATTGATTAGTAACCCACTGTGAATGAGAATTAAGGAGTGCCAGCAATTCAGATTCACGGTCGGATTCGCGGCAATAGCAATCGCTCTGTGGGCTGCTGTTCTCTCGTTGTGCTCATCGTGCTGGGTGCCGGGACACCAGCTGGGCACAAATCGCAAGCTCCGACAGCCGCCCACAGGGATCCACCGTGACACCCACAATGCCATGGCAACCAAAATTTAAATGGGTTTCACCCGCCCTCTGCAAGGCCTCACATCATTATACACGTCAGGAGTGACTACACAATTCAGTTACTTGATCCACTGCGCCGTTTGAAGGAATCCGCTTGCAGGGAATTTATTTTCTTGGTGGATTAAGGTAGCATTTTGCAAAGGATGTGTATGCTGTTACTTAATGCTAAATGTGATGGGGGGCGGGGGTGTAAGCATTTTAGCGTCACGGTGTCTGGGTCAGCTTACTCCGACTGTATAATGTGGACACATCTGACACAGGGGATGTTGCCGTGGTGGAATGATTACCACACTAGACTTATAATCTGGAGATCATTGGTAAAATGTTATCTCCCGGCGTGCAATCCATTGAGAGATCAATGCTCAAATGCCCTGCGCAGCAGTTGAAGCAATGGGCACATTTATTAAACCACCTGGCCTTTGTCCATACAGCAGTAAAACATGGGTGCACCAGTTCGTCCATTCACAAGATTCATCGTGTGTGGTGGGGAAAAGTACGTGCACTCTCTTCTCTCTTCCAAGATGTCTGGCAAGTGTGGAAGAGTAAGAGAATACCCCCTGGATGGGCTCTATAGAGCTCCCTCTAGCCGAGGGCTGTACCTTTAGCATTAATCTCTGACACAAACCTCCAGTATGGCTTAACAGTTTTGTTTTGCCGTGTACCATTCAAACAATTAATACATGAATATTTTCGAACGAACAAAATGTGCCCGATCTTATTCAATGAAGAAGAATAAAAGCGATACCATCGTCAGAAGCTTACGTTTCAAAAAACAAAAGGAAAACTTGCGCTGCGTCCAAAAGTAAAATCCTTTCAACTCTCCTCTTATTTTGAACTTCAACCAAGTGCGGCAACAGCAGCCTGGATCAATATTGCTCATCGACGTGTTGCCAGCTTGGCCCTTTCAGAAACATCAAACGCTGATGTGCGAGTGCCAAAATAAATAGCCACCTGGCACCTCCAGACATGAGCAACTGAATGAATATTGATTGGGCTGCACCGCATAAAAAAAACGCTGGCGAGTTTTGCCACGCGCTTCTTTTGACTTTGGCCTCGTCCGGACGTTGTGCTCAGCTGCCATGAATGTATGCCGCTCGGACAGATGGGATGCACAATGCCTACACAACCTTTACAGGAAAAACAGAGGCGTTTCATAATTTGATAATGCACAGTATAGTAAGTTAATGTATTCAGTTGTTTTGCTAGCCACGCACATTTTGTTACCGATTCCTTCACCAACAGGCACTAATCAGCGTGGTGAAGCATTGCCAAATATCCCCCCCCCACCACCACCCACGGCCTGGACAGCATGGGAAGGCCCTCGTTCAGCATTGGATTGAAATCACGGGCATGCATATACAATTATACGTGCTACTTATTGTAGGATAAAACTATACATTAGACTCTTAATAATCTTCACTTTAGTTTTCCGTGTCATGAAATACATTTAGAGCATTATTATTGTAACATTGTCAACATATTTAAATGTGAGCTAGAACAGGAACACTAAAACAGAAATAAAATGACATTCACCGATATATATCGGTGAATGTATATATCATCATCGAATGTATAAATATCGGTGAATGTCAAGTAATGTACTGAAATAGAATATACTTAAGTACATTACGTATCACAATAGTACTTTTAAAAATCACAATTAACATGAATATAAAAAATTCTAAATGTGGCACAATAATATGTAATATGTTACGAAAAAATATTTGTGGTTTAGCTTTAATCTATTCTAACTATATTATGCTTGTTTACCCAAGAAAGCTGCCTCGAGTCTCACGACTCTTTTTTTTTTAAGAGCTTCCAGCAATTTTATTTTGCAGTAGCGTGTGATGATTGTGATCTAGATTGCAACTGAGTAATTTGCAGGTACCATATAAAAATTTGGCAAACTTTGACCATGACACTGGCGCACAAATAGCCTACTCTTGGGAATGATGCCACAGGAATTTAGAGTCCACCGTCAAGCAAATGGCGTGCATTTTCACGGTTAATACGGCTGCAGTAATAACCAGGGCGGCCGCTGGATTAAAATCGGAAACTTCCGCAACACACGTCAAATGCGCCACCACTAGGCCATGTCACCCGCCCTGTAACTAAAGAATAGTATAGATGAGGCCTGTGCTATAATACTTAGATCAACCAAGGCAATGCTAAAAAAACCCATCAATGACTGTCATTAACAAAGAACCACTACTGCGAGCTTTGTCTGAACCACAAGAGGCTCAGCCCTTGAGAGAGTTGACATTCTCAAAGGGGAAGAATTAAATGAACCGAATCGAGAAGGTTTTGCACATGAATGATCCAGGGAGCATTATATTTCTGCAATACGCTCACCTTGTGATTTCTTCTCTGACCTTTGATGGCTCCTGAGGGTAAAACTTTACTCGGAAGCACATAGTAAACTGGTGGGTGGCCTGGGAAGAAAGGCGTGGAGGGGGGTGCGGAGAACAAAAAACACTTAAAAATAAATTAGAGATTTCTAAAAGGAAAAATTGCTTACAGGTCGAAGAGATGACACAACAGCGTTGAAACACGATATTTCGTGAACCATTCATTCAATCATATGTCAGTGTTTCGTTAAATAAATTTGCATTACTGTGCTGCTCACTTACATTTCATTTGTCTCACGATCGATTTTTTAGGATCAAGCCAATGCTGTACAAAAGAGAGGAACAAAAAATTATACACAAGGCATTTAAAGTGACACCGGCCCAATGCGACATTGTACCAAACATGACTGCCTACGGAACATTAACATTACAAGCAATAATACACGCACAAGCTGATTTTTTCACAGCGAGATGTGCAGTTGCGATCATAGGATCGGTCTTCCCACCATCCCTTGGATGTCTCGTGACTTCGCCTTGCTGCTTGTATAACTGTGCATATCCTTGACTTAAGGCCACAATCTCAACAGAACTAACATTGTTTTAGAAGGGCAACATCAACAGAACAATGAGACAACAGTAAACCAGTTTCACATCCTTGCATAGGAATCATCAGCACAGCCATCACTGCCTACTGCTGCCTTGTGCCTCCTCAGGAGGTTGTTGTGAACAAGACCGCCCTGGTCAATGTGGGAGCAGTTTGGCACTGCCTAAGGGTGGCAATAAATTCACGGGGCTGTCAGAAGGGAACGACGTGAAGGAATGGCATCGTACACGTCCCCTCCAACCTGCCCCGGCTCATCAACCACACAACTCACCCGCTGCTTGTCAGGGTCGACGAAGCGAATTCCAAAGTAGTCGCGCTCCAGTAGGTCGAGATGGTTGCACACGTGGTCCATCAAGAAGCGCCCCTTTGCATCCCGCTGGCATGGGCAGCGTGCCGGCAGGTGCGGGGGGGGGGATAGGGTGACAAGGCAACGAGCAAACACAGGTGTTTTATTACAATCGTACGCAACCTGTAGTCCTTTCACGTGCGACGCCTGCGGATGTGAACACATGATTCTGATAAGATCCAAATGCATGCCGTGCGCAGGCTACGAATTGTTTTCTCGACGAACGATTGCGTTTGAGATCTGTGTTTAAATCCGGGAACGGCCGTGTTTTGCTTTGCATACTAGTGACGCTACTAGCGACGCTTGGGTTGCGTTTATTAATTGATGTTCCTTGCCCAGACAGAGCAATACGGTGAATGTGGAAAGATAGAAAAAAGGTAAGATACAGAGCATTTCCAAGGTCATGGCTGTGACTTTAAGTTGAGATAATTTTCCTGGCAATGGGAAAAAATATACGTTTGCAACATGAAATCTTCGAGTTATGTTCGTGCGCATGCATATCAGGAAAATAGAATTAGGCAGCCTAATGCATTTTACGTGTCACTCAATAAATGGCCAATTTAAAAACTCATTAGACAAATACGGCCTATTAAGTGAGTGGAGTTCTCCACAGTGAAAGATGAAATGGCACAAATGGGAGAGTTTTCTGCAGCCCTTACGGACAATTTAAACAGCTCGTGTAATGGGCATTGGACATACTGCCTATAATTCACCACTGTCACTTAATTTATAATGATCTCCAGTTGAGGACACTTTTGGCAAAAACCCTTTCAATGATTGTCACAATGTTCCCTGTCCACTGTGACTTGCGGCACTAAACTAAGTTTAGAGACAAGACAACAGCCAAAAGGAAGGGGCTAATCAGGACGTTAAGTGCTGATGCATAATTTATTACCGTTGTAAAATGGGTAATCTGCCGGCAGTGTCCTGTAAATAGGATCTCCACAAAGAAAGAGACCTCTTAATGACTGTTGCTTGGGAATACACAACATATTTATTTTCAGTAGAATTTTTTCAAACCTGGTATGCTATGACAATTATCTGCCACCGTTGATACAAAATAATAATAAAAACAATTATTTTCGGTGACCATGTGGCCCAGAGGTCAAATGGCTGAGCCAACACTGCTGAGGTCAGGGGTCAGAACCTGGGTGCCACGATTAAAATGGGTTCTCAATTTGATATTTTGTTGGACACCAATGACTGCACACACACACACAAAACATAATATTAAATTGCTTTTGTACTTAATTTGCCTAAATTCCAGCTCTGAGGATTACAAATTTTGGTTTCACAGTCATCCATAAAAACTGGGAAGTGCCAGCCCTGTTGTGTAAAAGATGAAGGCCACTTGAAGGATTTTTCAGAAACCCTTTTGGAATATTCTCTTCTGCAGCTGTTCTGACACATAGAGTGAGGCACTGCTCCACAATCTTCCCAAATGGATCCTTTGTCTTATGACACGATGCTGATAGTGCTATTTTAATAAATAATAGATGAGATGGGAGAAAGATGAACACATGTTTTTAAAATCACGTTTTTTACGTTCCACTTCAATAATTATGAGGCTGCAGGATATGAATACAAATCTAAAAGTGAGCTGGTATTGTCAACCTCTCCCAAAGGCAGTGCATTATAAAATAACGTTACTTCAAATCTGGAGGGGAAAAAGGTTACTTTCAGTGATAACTGATGGAAAACAAATTGTCCAGCAACACACGTGGTGGCTGTAAATATTGAGATGATCGGCATGTGAAAATTAGATCGTGTGTATGGTCTAAACATGCCAATTACAGTATACTCTATTGCAACGATGGCAATCCATTACTTTGTTTTATTATCCTAAAGTACGATTTGGTTTATAGATTTTACAACTGTGTGACCGCACATAAATAAAGGTACTAAAAGCATTGAAATTCTGTCCAGCAACTTTTTCAAAAGCTTTACAAAGCAGCATTGAAAATGTTTTAAACTACGGCAGCAGGGATGGTATTATTTGTATTCCTGTCGTTGCAAAAGTGCAGATCTGCAACTGCTTGCTCATGCCACTGCTGGCGAAGAACGACGACAAAGGCGGGAGCTCTAGACAGCCCCTCTAAACAGGGTTTTGTTCAGAGTATACCCACAATTTACCCCACCACACACGACACGCCAATTGACTTAGCTTTGGTGTACCCATGTACAGTGCTCGGTGAACAGCGGGATGATTTAAGACATCTCACACCCATGGCGCTGAAATCAAACCGGTGACCACTGGATTTAAAGTCTACTTTGATAACCCTTACACCACGGCAGCATCCTGTTATAGAGCTACGGGTAAATTAATCAGGAGGAATATTTTTTGCCAAAATATTAAGAAAATGGATGTCAATCTTGATTTGAAGCTTTCGTGACTGCAGGAATCCATACTCTTTGGTTCTTTCGGTAAAGTCACGTAGGTAGAAAAATTAAATTGAACAAAAATAATTTTATCACGATGTTTCGTTTGGTTCAGAAGTTCCACTGCTGGATTATTTTTTTCTGCCTGAGGGCGACTGCTTATGTTGCAATCGAAACGTCGTGATATATTATTTTTTGTTTATTTTATTTTTCTACCTGCGTGACTTTACCGAAAGATCCAAAGAGTATAAAATGGTTAACTGGAGAACACAGACTAAGTGTTACTTACCTAACATTAAAACTAACAATTATATATTTAAGAATCACCATTAAGAACAAACAACATATATACTATTCGAAAGAATGATTAAAATAACATGTTTTTATTAGTATTTAAAATCTCATCAGTGGCCATAAAACTATCCAGGAAACTATTCAAGTGGCCCGACCAGGCCATTTAAAACACCGTGAGCACCAACTGAAAGCCGCGAGGGAAATGTTTGCAATTTAAAAGTGGTACTTGAACACCACGTCAGGAGCAAAGCTACAGATGCACTAAATGCACTGGGCATTTGACTCATTCTAACCGCAGGGAAACCCCAAATGATGATAATCTGAGCACTGCCAGTGGCCGCTGTTGTTCATTGCACCATTGCAAGTTCAACACTGCTTGCAGATCATGCGATGGCTCCTTCCATGCCCTATTCTTTCATTTTCCTCAAGTCAGCCAAACCCACGACTCACACCTCTGATTAGCGAGGTTGGTGACGTATGGTGCGAAAAAATACATATATACTCACTAATCAGTTGTGAAACTTTCATTATGAGTGTAAATTAAATTCGATTTTTTTTAAATCAAATTTCCTGCACCGGATTTTCTCATGTCAGCATTGTGGATAGAAGAAATGCTATGATATGAAAGCATACAAATGAAGCCTGAAATGTAAAATGGCTTATTCCATTAAAAATAACCTCAGCATTAACTCTCATTATGTTTCCGATCCGACAATGTATACTCTCAAGGCACAATCAATCAAGCTGTAGAGAGGGTTTCTACTTCTGAGGTGGCAACCATGTCTACAATGCTACGAAGAAGGACCATCGCCCAAGACGTCTCCTCTCGTATATATGTATTCCTCTTGAGGAACGGTGTTATTGACGAGCATCCTGAGCTTGCGCACCATTGCCGATGCAGTATCACAAAAAAATATCTCTTCATGCAGTTCTCTTCTGTCTCCACATTTTCACGGAGCTCTCCGTGGCTGCAAGTTTTTCATCGATGGGTGGGGGGGGGGGGTGGCATTTTCTAGTAAATCAAGCATCCCAATGCTCACGATTACATCCGCTGTACAATCAAAACAGGCTTGCATCAACAACAACGGGGATACAGCAATTAAAAAAAAACAATTTTTATTTTACCAAGAAAGGCCCACTGAGCTATATAGCCCTTTTCCAGAAGCGACCTGGCCACAAATGATAGCCCAATGAATTGGCTTGTCATGTGGAAATTTATAGCAGTGAAATACTCTAAAAGCATGTTTCTAAGTGTGGAGGGGAAAACCGGAGGACCCGTAGAAAAATCCACGCATTTGAAAAATGTCTCTGGAGATGCATCCCTAAATACCTATTTTGTATGTAGCAGATTTGTAATATTCTCCTTCAACAGCTATTTCAAGAAAATAACATTCCGCAGCCATCCTCAATCTTTGAAACGTGTCCCATTGGGGCGATTGAACTAATTCCCATATACAATATACAAATGGGCCCTTTGAAAACAAATAATAAACACAATTTTATTGACTGCGGAATAATTCAGATTGTGCTGCTGCTGCTGCTGCTGAGTGTATTAGTACATAGCAGGACTATGAGAGGTGGTAGTGGCCGAGAGAAGCCTTCATCCAGCAGTGGATCGATCATGACGATGATGGCTGTACATTATTTAAGCTCTCGCGCATGAAGAGCCAGTGGATTTCAACCTTCACCGTTGCATTGTACTCGGCCGTGACACCTCCTCTGCACGGCTCACCGACCAATGTCAAGACACGTGACATGAACACCTCCTTCCGTTGTCGGTACAAGAGGCAGATTTTGCTCGCGCTGGTAATTATATTTGTGCATGGGCCTGCTGCACTGTGCAATCACTCGTACAGCCACCTGCCCCTCCCCCATTAACCGTGTCAATGCATGGGTTGTTTTTTGTTGTTTGCAAACAGACACGCGGTGACCTGCATTGTTGGGGCAGCACATCTTGCTATTCGTTATCAATTCTTGCTGTCATGTTTGACCCTCAAAAATATAATAATTCATCATCAGCAGCCATGAAGCAGCATCCACTGCCGAATGAATTCCTCGCCAATCCATCACCATCGCTAGCTGTCTTGTAATGCACACAAGATGAGTTCATTGATTTCCTCACTCCATCTCCACATGGACGTAATTTTCAGACGTGTTGCTCCTTTAACTGCCACTCCATTGAGCAATGTGTTGCTGCGAGCCCATTTACTTTTCTTGAATAAAAATAATTATGAAATTAAACTGATAGGCCTAATATTACTGTGGGTTTCCCGGTTGTGCTGTGTAGCTCACAAGAGTTGTTCCCGCATTGCATGTGTCATGCTCAAATATGTACATAATTATTGAACATTCAATTT